CGTCCACTCACCCACTGCGCTTTCACTGGGAGCTGCAATCCTGAGCTGTTCCTAAACGGCCATCTTGGATCCTCTCATAGTCATCATCTGTTATTTTTAATAAATTATTATTTTTTTTTTTTGGACGGAGTTTCGCTCTTGTTACCCAGGCTGGAGTGCAATGGCGCGATCTCGGATCACCGCAACCTCCGCCTCCTGGGTTCAAGCAATTCTCCTGCCTCACCCTCCTGAGTAGCTGGGATTACAGGCACGTGCTACTATGCCCAGCTAATTTTTTGTATTTTTAGTAGAGACGGGGTTTCACCATGTTGACCAGGATGGCCTCGATCTCTTGACCTCGTGATCCACCCGCCTCAGCCTCCCAAAGTGCTGGGATTACAGGCGTGAGCCACCACGCCTGGCCCTTTTAATAAATTATTTTATCTCTCTGTTTGTAGAGAGCTAACGTTTGATGGTTCTAATTTAAATTTCTTCCTTTCACCCATATTCAATCATTGAATCCTTATAGAATTTATCTTTTAGTAGACAGAAAAGTCAATGAGACAGTTTTTAAAATAGAAAAATTACTCCTTTTTAATGGTAATTATTGACACATCGTTGTTTTTCATTGTTTTTGTGGATTGAGAGAGTATTGATCCATCCAGTCTCTGGAGGAGAGACATTTCTCCAATGTAGCACCACACATATTCTTTTCCCTAAATTACAGTAAGCTCTTTAAAGATTTTTGAGACTGGACACAGTGGCTCCCACCTGTAATCCCAGCACTTTGGGAGGCCAAGGGGGTGCAGATCACTTGAGGTCATGAGTTCAAGACCAGCCTGACCAACCTGGTGAAACCCCATCTCTACTAAAAATATAAAATTAGTTGGACGTGGTGACTCATGCCTGTAATACCAGCTACTTGGGAGGCTGAGGCAAGAGAACCTCTTGAACCTGGGAGGCAGAGGTTCCAGTGAGCCGAGATTGTGCCATTGCACTCCAGCCTGAGCAGAAAGAGTGAAATTCTATCGCAAAAGAAAAAAAAAAAAAAGATTTTGAAGTCACTTTTGAAATAGCTGATATTCATTTTTTTTTTCCTGCTTATATCCACAGTACTGCCCAAAGATGGGAGAGGAGATTTTTAAATTATTAACGCTTTCCTTTTTCATTGATAGGCTTTACATAACTGCTGGGGTTTTTTTTTTTTTTTTAAGTGGGAAGATAAAGAGCTTATTTCTCTTGAAGCTTCTCACTTTTCTTTTAGCTTCATTTGTTTGTTTGTTTGTTTGTTTGTTTGTTTTTAAAGTGTACTTAGCTTTATTATACCAGTTGTTCCCAAGCTTTCAAATTGAATTTCGCACTTTCACAAATATTTTTTCCAATAAAAGATCATGTGTCAAAAATTCATCAAAGTGAAAGACTAGATTATTTTTCAATGTTAATGCATTACATAGAAATATTTTTTATCTTCCTTTGGTAATGATTATTAACTTCCTTGTTCCAGGTTTTGATAATTTTTTAAAAATTCTGTAGAACAGAATTAGTCCTAGTAAATGGCTATAGAAATTCTGGAAAACATTTAGAAATAATTTTTCTAAATTCATCTAAAATTTTACTAATGTTTGAAAATAACTTTATTGGTATCTTCTCTCCCACACTATAATATCAACACTATATTTCTGTACCAATTTTTATTCTACAAGAAGTTTTTACATGGTTACTTCTTGAAAATGTATGAAGCCAATGAAGAAGCTGTTTAAGGCTAGAGTTGTTTCAAAAATCTGTTGCCCTAGGTTGTAAATTTTTCAAGTTTGTTGATCTGTGTCTTATACTTAACACTATTTTTCCCTTCTTTCTAATACTGACATAGATACTCATGCCTAATAAATACTTATGTTTTGTCCAGTGAGGTATAGAACAGATATCTTAAAATTCAAAATATGAGCAAGTAGCTATTATTTATCTGGCTCAAGAAACTTATTGAATTTAAAAGAATTTAAAGTTTTTTAGATACAAGTGAAATCTCAGAAAATGTTGCACAAATTTTTTGTGACTGTAAAATTATAATACAGATTAAAGCTAGTTTTTACTTTGCTACCAGCGTAGACTTAGCCAGTGAAGCCACTAGGTAGTTTTGACATTCTATAAACTGACATATCATACACTGCCTTTATTTTTGTAGGAAAGCGGATGCTATTATACTGCATTTTTGTTTTCATAAAGAGCTAGAACCAGAGCAGCCCTTTCATTACATTGACAGATATTTACTAAGGTTTTGTTACAGGCCAGTTACTGTGCTAGTTGCTGGGATTATGAAAATAAGATACTGTTCTTGCCTCCAAGAAGCTCAGTCTAATGTAAAATACATCCACAAAACAGATGATTATAAAACATTCCAAACACAATTATAATAGAGATATGCCCAGGATGCTAGGTAAGGGAAGACCTAACCCAGCTTTACGTAGGAAAACTAAAAAGAAAGGAAATATGAACAGCTTCAGGAGACAGTGTCATCTGAAGCTAAATCTTAACAGGTGAGTAGGAGTTAGTCTCATGTGAAGGTTAAGGAAAAGCTTGCTGGTGATGGAATGATCCAAGGAATGGGATAAGAAACTGCATTTACTTAGGGAACAGTGAGTCATTAGAGAAGACAGATTGTTTTTCTTCTTTTTCTTTTTTTTTTTTTTTTTTTTGTTGTTGTTGAGACAGAATTTTGCTCTGTTGCGCAGGCTGGCATACAGTGGCATAATCACAACTCACTGCAACCTCCACCTCCCAGGTACAAGTGATTCTCCTGCCTCAGCCTCTCGAGTAGCTGGGATTACAGGTGCCCGCCACCACACCCAGCTAATTTTTGTATTTTTAGTAGAGACAGGGTTTCTCCATGTTGTCCAGGCTGATCTTGAACTCCTGACCTCAGACAATCTGCCTGCCTTGGCCTCCAGAGTGCTAGGATTATAGGCATGAGCCACTGCACCCAGCTGACAGATTGTTTTTCTAAAAATGCAGTTGTGTTACATGAGCCTAATAATTTAGTGTGTTTGAAAAATAGAGCATTTTAAGATATTAAAATTATTAGAAAAATTTAGAAAAAAACATTTTGTTAGAAGAATGTCTTTTATGATGAAAACTTTGTGAATGGAAGTGACATGTCTCTTACAAAGGCCTGTTTTGGGCAACTTTATCTACACAGGCAGCCAGTATAGATATTACACATTATATGTCTTTTGATCATGATGAAAATCTTTCTGGGTGATTTTGTTTTAATACTGAACATATCTTCTTAATGAATCAGCATCTCTGTTATTATATGGTGCTTTGATGATCATGTAAGCAGCTGACACTCAGAATAGCCTTCACTGCTTTTTAAAGATGTTTCTGCTTTTTATATTGCTGTCAGTTTCTAGTTGCTACCAATAGCAATGTGATTCACCCAATAAGCTCCCTTTCTGTTTCTTTCTATTTTGGTGCCATTGGGAAATGGTAGTTATTTCATTTACTCCTTTTCTTTCATCTACTAGATTGGAAGCTTCAGAAGGACAGGAATACCGTGTCTGGTGTAATCTCTGTTATATTTCAGTTCTGAGCACAGTGCCCAACACAAGTTTTCAGTAAATATTTGTCAAATGAATGAATGCAGTAAATCCTGTATCCTAAATAAGTAAAGTAAACGTCTTTAGAAAAAGAAAAGAGAGTCTGGTTAATGTCAAATTCATCTGTTCAATATATGCATTTTATGTTATCAAATAACTGGAATATAATTAATAACTTAAGAACTTACAATAGATTTATCATTATAAATGCCACTTGTGCAATTACTTTTAAAATTTTAGTCAGTAGAATGCTAAGCAGTTTTTATTAATTTTTAAAGAAGCTCAGCAATATTAGGATTCATGTATCACACCAAAGCATTTTCTGCAACTACTTTAGTATCCTGTTTTCTGAAATAGCTTCCCCTGACGGGAATCATAATCTCTTTCACTGTGAAACTCAAAACTGGATATATTATCCTAAATGGAACTTAAGTACCACTTAATAAATTCTGACTTAGGACAGGAACTTACTAGGAATTTTGCAGACAACTTTTTTATTTGTATAGATCTTTCCTTTGAAGAGTTGTGTAAGCTGGTTTGTTAGATGGTTAGTTTTAAATAAGGTGTTTTTAGAAATAATTTGCATAATATATTTAATAATATATATGAAAGTTTATGAATTTAAGTGTCAAATATCAGTGTTAGCTCTTAAGTTGAATCATTATTTAGTCATTCATCAAATATCTTTTAATGTGTTCCATGGTTTGGCAACTTTGGGATAATTGGGGAGATTTTCGTATTTTTTAATGTATTTTCCCTTCCTAATATTTCCTAGAATAACCATAAGACCAGCTTTGCCTGAAAGAGATAAGAGATTTAGCATCTTAATTAAAAATTGGGGCAGGCGCAGTGGCTCACGCCTGTAATCCCAGTGTAACAGCACTTTGAGAGGCCAAGGCAGGCAGATCACGAGGTCAGGAGATTGAGATCATTCTGGCCAACGAATGTGGTGAAACCCTGTTTCTACTAAAAATACAAAAAATTAGCTGGGCGTGGTGGCACACACCTGTAGTCCCAGCTACTCAGGAGGCTGAGGCAGGAGAATCGCTTGAACCTGGGAGGCAGAAGTTGCAGTGAGCTGAGAGATTAAGCCACTACACTCCAGCCTGGATGACAGAGTGAAACCCCATCTCAAAAAAAAAAAAAAAAAAGAAAAAAAAGTTGCTCTTGGCCAGGCTTGGTGGCTCCATGCCCGTAACCCCAGCACTTTGGGAAGCCAAGGTGGAAGGATCGCTTGAGCCCACAAGTTTGAGGCTTAAGTGAGATTCCCTGTCTTTAAAGGAGGAAGATTGCTCTTGCAGAAAAATATATAGGTCAGATTATTTCATTAAAATGTTTTTAGTTATTTGTGAGAAAATACACAACTTTAATCTTGTTTCATCAAATGTTAATTAATCGTGGTATGTATTTTGTCTTTTTAAAATTCAGGCTTTCATTAAAGATAGAACCAGGGACAAGCACCCCACGTTCTGCTGCTTCCAGGGAAGATTTAGTAGGTTAGTATATAGTTTTCTCTCGTTACCAAATCTACATCAGATAACCTAATGAGGAAGAATATACTCCAAAATAAATAAAAACTTAGTACATCTTATACTGCACATAAAATTTATTTTGGTATTAAAATCTATCAGTCCTTTATAGATTTTTTGTTTTTTAATTTAAAAGCTGCTATAGTTTGTCAGTAGTGTGCAAACAAATATGCTGCCTAATCAAGGAAAATAGATGTAACAGATGGAAAATAATAGACAAGTAGTTATGGATATTCATTTTTAATTAAGAATGCATTGTCCTAGGCAATGAAGGTTGATTATACTAGAAATTTCTGTGGTCTAATGGGAAAGTCTACTAATTTAATTAGTAGAAGTTATTTTTAATAGCATGATTTTTTTTTTAATGTTGACTTTAATACTGGACCAAGTACTAAAAATATAAAAATCATAGTTTCTTCCTTTACCTGTTACATAATAATGGGGATATTATGTGTATACCACAAATAATTTTTTAAAACAACATAAAGAGAATTGCTCATTATTTAAGGAATCACTGATAGGTACCTTTTTTAAAATTCCCAGTACAGGCCTTCGCACTAAGTTTCATGTATTTTCTAAAAATATTCGACAACTAATCTAATAAGATGGGAAGAAATGAAGAAACAAACCATGACAATGTCTATGGCGAAGAATATTCCATGCAGAAAAAACATTTCAATTTAAATTTCTTATATTTGCTTTTCTTTTTATTCTTAAAGTGCTATTTTGCACTTTAATAGTATTCTATTTTATTCCCATAAGCCTGAACAATGTCAGTATGGATTTAATTTCTAATTTGAGTGTTTGACCTACCCTACACATTCTTTAAGAGGAAGTTGAAACTAGGAATAAAGAAGCAATGTATAAAATTAAAAGAGCACTGAACCTAGGACTCAGAAGACCTGGGTGTTTACTCCAGATTTTGTCTGTGATGTGAAAGCTGATCTCTTTTAATTCTGCTGCTGCTTATATAATGGAGAAAATATTTACACTGTCTCTGCTTAGTATAAGTAAGATAAAAATGAATGGATTCTGTTTGGTTTGGGATTTTGTGTTTTAGGACTTGGAATATATTTCTCATCTTCAAGTCAGTTAAATAGAATTAACAATACTATCTCAAAATTTGAACCACATTTAGTATTTTATATCAAGGGACTGAAAAATAAAGTAATCATATGAAATCATTTCAAAATCTCCTTCTCTTTAAATTTAACCCTTAGGTCCTGAAGTAGGAGCATCTCCACAAAGTGGACGAAAAAGTGTGGCAGCTGAAGGAGCCTTGCTCCCACAAACACCCCCATCCCCTCGGAATCTGATTCCACATGGACATAGGAAGTGCCATAGCTTGGGTTATAAGTCAGCATTTTTAATTTTATCTTTCACATTTTAAAGTTGTTTGTAGTTGGGTTTATTGTCTATTTATTAGTTCTCCAGAAAATGGTATCCTTGAATAGTTTTCTTTTTTCTTAACAGCCTTTTTTTGATTCAGTAAAATATCTTGTTTGTCTAAACGCTTTCATTTCTTATTACCTGAATTTGGAAATGGGATTTTGTCAACAGTGCATTTATATTTGGAGATGATAAATGAAAATTATAGAGGGCCCTTACAAAGAAAATCAGGATAGCAGTATACCGTTTTTAAAAATTATAACCTTTATACCAAGATATTGTTTGTCTTAACCAAAATCAGTCATAAATTAAGAGGTATAAAAATTATTTTCTTTATTCCTAAATATAAAGAAAACTGACTTTTAACTTCATTAGTTTTGCAGTATTGTTTTTTCAAAATGGGGACACATGTTCACTTTTGCCATGATTTTTCTGGAAATTTAATAACTATTATCCAAAAGTGAATGTGGAAACAATTTTTTTTAATGGACATGAGGCTCAAAATGAAATTATTTTAAAGTATGCTCTAATTATATAGATACGGCCAGGTTTCCTAAAACATTTTCCCTAAACTGTTAGTTTGAGGCTTTTATGGTGAGATCTCAGTATGACAGCAGGTAAATCTCTTATATCCTAAATCTTTATATGTAAGAGCAGTTTTTATTTTCTAAATTAGTAACAATAATAAAAGATATGAACCTTTTTTTTTCTCTTTGTTTCCAGTTTCATTCATAAAATGAACACAGCAGAATTTAAGAGTGCAACGTTTCCAAATGCAGGGCCAAGACATCTGTTAGATGATAGTGTCATGGAGCCCCATGCACCATCTCGAGGCCAAGCTGAAAGTTCTACTCTTTCTAGTGGAATATCAATAGGTGAGAAAAACTTCTCTGAGAGGGTTGCAATTTAAATAAAAAAAATTTTTTTTTAATTGGCTGGAGAAAAATTAACCCCACCACACATAGAGAAAGTTTGGTTAAAAAACAAAGTAGCAGTTAAATACAGGATGAAGTTAATAATTTGTGATGGTTTTAAAGGTGCTTGCTGTTTTTAACTCCAGAAGGGGAAGCATTTGAAGAAAGTGGAAACAGAATATATGGGGTGGTTGAATTAGTTAACTGCATGTGATTTGGATATGGTGAGGAGGAAGAGTGTGGGGTCAAGGATAACTTCAGGTTATTTGGATTAAGCAAATATGATAGTTAGATGATGATGCTATTACCAAGCAAGGAAGAAAAGATGAAGACTAATCATCTGTGGGCAGGGAAGTGTTTGTGAAGGGGACTGAGTTTGGGAAATCAGTTCTGTTTTGGACATGTTTTGTTCTATGGAGATGTTAGGTAGGTTTTTGAATATATGAATCTGGAGTTCTGTGGGGTAAGGTCAGGTCTGAAGATATATGAGAAGTATCATATTTATAAGCCATGCTTGATTGAGAGTACCTAAAGAGAGAGTATACATAAATGAGAAGAAAACATTCTCACATTTAGAAGTCTGATTAAATTATTATCTGCATATCAATCTTTTATTATTGAGGATTACATTTTTTTTATTTTTTTGAGACAGAGTTTCAATCTTGTTGCCCAGGCTGGAGTGCAATGGCCCAATCTTGGCTCACTGCAACCTCTGACTCCCACGTTCAGACAATTCTCCTGCCTCATCCCCCCGAGTAACTAGGATTACAGGCATGCACAACCATGCCCAGCTAATTTTATTTGTATTTTTAATAGAGACAGGGTTTCTCCATGTTGGTCAGGCTGGTCTCAAACTCCCAACCTCAGGTGATCTGCCCACCTCGACCTCCCAAAGTGCTGGGCTTACAGGCATGAGCCACTGGCTCAGCCTGACGATTACATTTTGAAACAAATTTAACTTGGCAGTTTCATAAGAATATTAAATTGATTCATGATTACTTTCTGCTGACTTGCCATCTCACATGTATGTCTAATATGCCTCTAAAAATATAAACCCAAAACAAAATTATCTCAGAATTTCCTCCTTAAATCTCTATCTTCCCTGGCCAAACCTTTTTTTTTTTTTTAATATACTTTAAGTTCTGGGGTACATGTGCAGAACCTCAGGTTTGTTACATAGGTATACACATGCCCTGGTGATTTGCTGCACCCATCAACCCGTTATCTACATTAGGAATTTCCCTTAATTCTGTTCCTCCCCTAGCCCCCCACCCCCCAACAGGCCCCAGTGTGTGATGTTCCCTCTTTGTGTCTATGTGTTCTCACTGTTCAGCTCCCACCTGTGAGTGAGAACGTGCAGTGTTTTTTCTCTTTTTTTGTTAGTTTGCTGAGAATGATGGTTTCCAGCTTCATCCGTGTCCCTGCAAAGGACGTCAATTCATCCTTTTTTATGGCTGCATAACATTCTATGATGTATATGTGCCACGTTTTCTTTATCCAGTCTATTATTCATGGGCATTTGGATTGGTTCCAAGTCTTTGCTATTGTGAACAGTGCCACAATAAATGTACATGTGCATGTGTGTTTATAGTAGAATGTTTTATAATCCTTTAGGTATATACCCATTAATGGTATTGCTGGGTCAAATGATATTTCTGGTTCTAGATCCTTGAGGAAGCACCACGCTGTCTTCCACAGTGGTTGAAATAATTTACACTCCCACCCACAGTGTGAAAGCATTCCTGTTTTTCCACATCGTCTCTAGCATCTATTGTTTCCTGACTTTTTAATTATTGCCATTCTAACTGGCATGAGATGGTATCTCATTGTGGTTTTGATTTGCATTTCTCTAATGACCAGTGATGGTGAGCTTTCATGTTTATTGGCCGCATAAATGTCTTCTTTTGAAAAGTGTCTGTTTGTATCCTTTGCACATTTTTTGATGTGTTGTTTTTTTTTTCTTGTAAATTTGTTTGAGTTCTTTGTAGATTCTGGATATTGTCAGATAGATAGATTGCAAAAATTTTTCCCATTCTGTAGATTGCCTATTCCCTCTGATGATAGGTTCTTTTGCTGTGCAGAAGCTCGTTAGTTTAATTATATCCCATTTGTCAATTTTGGTTTTTGTTGCCATTGCTTTAAGTCTTTGTCCGTACTTATATCCTAAATGGTATTGCCTAAATTTTCTTCTAAGGTTTTTATGGGTTTTAGGTCTTACGTTTAAGTCTTTAATCCATCTTTAGTTAATTTTTGTATAAGGTGTAAGGAAGGGGTTCAGCTTCAGTTTTCGGCATATGGCTAGCCTGTTTTCCCAACACCATTTATTAATTAGGGAATCCTTTCCCCATTGCTTGTTTTTGTCAGGTTTGTCAAATATTAGATGACTGTAGATGTGTGGTGTTATTTCTGAGGCCTCTGTTCTGTTCCATTGGTCTATATATCTGTTTTGGTACCAATACCATGCTGTTTTGGTTACTGTAGCCTTGTAGTGTACTTTGAAGTCAGTAGTGTGATGCCTCCAGCTTTGTTCTTTTTGCTTAGGATTGTCTTGGCTACGCGGGCTCTTTTTTGGTTCCATATGATATTTAAAGTAGTTTCTTTCTAATTCTGTGAAGAAAGTCACTGGTAGCTTGATGGGGATAGCATTGAATCATAAATTACTTTGAGCAGCATGGCCATTTTCACGATATTGATTCTTCCTATCCGTGAGCATGGAATGTTTTTCCATTTGTTCATGTCCTCTCTGATTTCCTTGAGCAGTGGTTTGTAGTTCTCCTTGAAGAGGTCCTTCACATCCCTCTTAAGTTGTATTCCTGGGTATTTTATTCTCTTTGTAGTGATTGTGCATGGGAGATCACTCATGATTTGGTTGTCTGCTGGTTTATTATTGGTGTATATGAATGCTTGTGATTTTTGCACATTGATTTTGTATCCTGAGACTTTGCTGAAGTTGCTTATCAGCTTACGGAGATTTTCGGTTGAGATGATGGGGTTTTCTAAATGTACAGTCATGTCATCTGCAAACAGAGACAATTTGACTTCCTCTCTTCCTATTTGAATACCCTTTATTTCTTTCTCTTTCCTGATTTTCCAGGCCAGAACTTCCAATAATATCTCGAATAGAAGTGTTGAGAGAGGGCATCCTTGTCTTGTGTCAGTTTTCAAAGGGAATGCTTCCAGTTTTTGCCCATTCAGTATGGTATTGGCTATGGGTTGGTAATAAATAGCTCTTATTATTTTGAGATACGTTCCATCAATACCTAGTTTGTTGAAAGGGTGTTGAATTATATCAAAGGCCTTTCTGCATCTATTGAAATAATCATGTAGTTTTTGTCATTGGTTCTGTTTATGTGATGCATTACATTTATTGATTTGCATATGTTGAACCAGCCCTTGTATCCCAGGGATGAAGTCAGCTTGATCATGGTGGATAAGCTTTTTGATGTGCTGCTGGATTTGGTTTGCAAGTATTTTATTGAGGATTTTTGCATCGATGTTCATCAGAGATATTGGCCTGAAATTTTCTTTTGTGTGTGTGTCTCTGCCAGGTTTTGGTATCAGGATGATGCTGGCCTTATAAAATGAGTTAGGGAAGTGTCTCTCCTTTTCTATTATTTGGAATAGTTTCAGAAGGAATGGTATCAGCTCCTCTGTGTACCTCTGGTAGAAATCGGCTATGAATCCGTCTGGTCTTGGGCTTTTTTTTTTTTTTTGGTTGGTAGGCTATTAATTACTGCATCAATTTCAGAACTTGTTATTGGTCTATTCAGAGATTCGACCTCTTCCAGGTTTAGACTTGGGAGTATCTAGGAATTTATTCATTTCTTCTAGATTTTCTAGATTATTTGCAGAAGTGTTTATAGGATTTTCTTATAGGTGTTTATTTTTTTTTGGGGTGATGGTAAAAATCCCCTTTTTTTTTTTTTTTTTTTTTTTTTTTTTTTTTTGCATCTATTTGATTCTTTTCTCTTTATTAGTCTGGCTAGAGATGCCATGCCTAAAAAGAGGAGGAATCTAGAGACAGTGATTACAGCTGCTTTGCTGAGCTACAGAAGGCTCCGCCCAGTTGGATCTTCCCTGCAGCTTTGTTTACACTATGAGGGGAAAAACCACCTATTCAAGTCTAATAATGGCGGATGCCCCTTCCCCCAGCAAGCCTCAAGCATCCGAGGTCGACTTCAGACTGCTGTGCTTACAGCGAGAATTTCAATCCAGTGGATCTTGGCTTGCTAGGCTCCGTAGAAGTGGGATCCACTGAGCTACACCACTTGGCTCCCTGGCTTCAGCCCCCTTTCCAGGGGAGTGAACGGTTCTGTCTCGCTGGCAATCTTGGTGCCACTTGGGTATGAAAAAAAACTCCTGCAGCTATCTCAGTGTCTGCCCAAACAGCCTCCCAGTTTTAAGCTTGAAACCCAGGGCCCTGGTGGCACAGGCACCAGAGGGAATCTGGTCTGCAGGTTGCAAAGACTGTGGCAGAAGTTTAGTATCTGGGCCAGGGTGCACCATTCCTCATAGCACAGTTCCTCATGGCTTCCTTTGGCTAGGCTAGGGAGTTCCCCAACCCCTTGCGCTTCCCAGGTGAGGAGACGTCCCACCCTGCTTCAGTTCGCCCTCTGTAGGCTGTACCCACTGTCTAACCAGTCCCAGTCAAATGAGCCAAGTACCTCAGTTGGAAATACAGAAATCACCCGCTTTCTGCATTCATATTGCTGAGAGCTACAGAGCGGAGCTATTCCTATTCGGCCATCTTGCCAGGTCCTTTTTTTTTTTTTTTTTTGAGATAGTCTTGCTCTGTCACTCAGGCTGGAGTGCAGTGGCACAATCTCAGCTCACTGTTGCTATTTTTTTTTATTTGAGACAGTCTCGCTCTGTCTCCCAGGCTGGAGTATAGTGGCAGGATCTCGGCTTATTGCAACCTCCACCTCCTGGGTTCAAGCAACCTCAGCCTCCCAAGTAGCTGGGATTATAGGCACGTGCCACCACGCCTGGCTAATTTTTTGTATTTTTAGTAGAGACAGAGTTTCACCATGTTAGCCAGAATGATTTCCATCTGGCTGCCTCGGCCTCCCAAAGTGCTGGGATTACAGGTGTGAGACACCATACTCAGCCTGATTAAATTATTTTTTAAGAGAAGGGTGGGTCATCAAAGGAAATTAAAAAGGAGGGATCAATGAAGTAGGGAGAAAAATACACAAAAGCCCAGTAGATGAAATATCTCAAGGAGGAGGAAAGTGTTGAATGTGTCAATATCAAATGCAAAAAAGGAGAGCTCAGATGAGAATGGGGAATTGACTGGGAGATTTGGCCAGATAAAAGTTATTGATGGCCTTGACAAGAGTTACTTCAAAGAGATTTCAGGGCAAGGCCTGGATTGGAGTAGTTATGAAAGTGAGAGGTGAGGAAACAGAGATAGCTACTATGAAGGAGAGCAGAAAATTGGGACTATGTTGGAAAGGGACGTGAGATTTATAGAGGGATTTGTTTTTTCTTCTTAAACTTTCATTTTTTTAGTCTTCTAGATGAACATTATTTCTTTTTACAATTAGAAATTATTCATACAGTCCGGGCAGGGTGGCTCACGCCTGTAATCCCAGCACTTTGGGAGGCCCAACTGGGCCGATCTCTTGAGGTCAGGAGCTCAAAATGAGCCTGGCCAACATGGCAAAACCCCATCTCTACTAAAAAAACAACAATTAGTGGGGAATGATGGTGCATGCCTGTAATCCCAGCTACTTGGGAGGTTGAGGCACAAGAATCACGTGAACCCAAAAGGCAGAGGTTACAGTGAGCCACACCACTGCACTACCCAACCTGGACCATAGTGTGAGATTCTGTCTCAAAAAAAAAAAAGAAAGAAAGAAATTACTCATACAATAGCTCCTTTTATTTTTAAAAAGAAATAAAGGAGGAATAATGTCTTCATCTGTGATTAAGTACCAGATCGTTCAAGGGCTAAGCCTATTATTACTGATATCTTAATCAATATTGGTGAACAGCTAATAGAAAGAGATGCAAAAGCAGATTTCATTTTCTTGAACATGCTGACTTCCTTAACCCTTCAGAGTTAAAATGTAACTATTTCAGAGTTCTCCATTACCATTCAGCAGTTGTTTATTCTGATAGTCCCCTTTTTATAAATGCAAATGATTAAATGATAAAATTTTTTAAAAAGAAGGTAAGTTTGTCACCTGAAATACCTCTTTTTAATGTTCTAAGTTGCCTATATGCAAATATTAATCTCAGTCTGAAGAATAATTTTGCAAAGGGAAGAACTTTTTTCAGTCAAAAATTTGCTACACTTATGGAATTTGGCATGCCACTTAAAAAGTAATTTTTAAAATTACAGTCCCCAGGTTTATACTATTTGACTCTTTCCCATCTCTAGTGTTATAATGAGAATTATTTGGTAGTTTATAGCTTTTACTTTTCGTAGATGTCCTTTTACCACAAGTTAGTTGTCTAGTTCTTTTATTGAGTTACAATTAGTGTCTCAGTGTGAAGACTTTTCTCTTTTAGAGCAGATTTTTGCATTTGTGTGTGTTTTTTAATTATTCTAAGGCAAAGTAGGTAAACAGTAAGAGACTGTTGCATCCTGGTTTGTAGATTAAGAACATTACACATAGGCATTTACCTTCGAGGATTTTTGTTTTAAAGCTTTAACAATATGAAAAAAGAATGAGTGTATTACTGTAAGATAATAGGTGTTAGTATACACACACAAGTTTTTCTTTAGCTGTAACTTCTACATGTAATATTAATCTATGGTGAAGACTTTGAAAATACTGTGGGAAAATTAACCAGTGCTTAGAACAATGGCCTCAAACATTTTTTTATGTGGTGTCTATTCTAGATAATCTTGAATAGTCTCACCTAGCCAAGAACTAAGGGAAGGATATTCACTCTGAGTTTCATGCTTACATTTTCTACAGATAAGTTATACTAATTATGCTTAAATTTTCAGTTTTTACCACATAATGCCACAAATCAAAGATAATGTAGATAATGTACAAGACTCCACCACTACCACAGGCTACTTCTGGTTCTTCTGTGCCATACAATACAGAAAATTATTTCAGTGACTGTTACCTCAAGTTATCCAAGGATGGTACATAACTAGTGCCATTGCAAACCCATAGAAAGGTATTAATCCATCGTCTCTAAGAGAGACAAGACTAACGGATACCTTACAGCATCCATTACAGGTATCTGATGGAAACCTTACAGCATTAGAATTTGAGTCTCTCGTAGAACCCTGCTTAATAGACAGTTTAACTTGACCTATTAGTCATCCTAATTTTATTAAGAGTGAGAATTATCTTTAAAGTAACATTTAGGTCAACTAAGCTGTTTTGGACTCTTTAAAATTATTCCTCATAGTTTTTTGTTTTTCCCAACTAATTTTAAATGTTCTGTTTGAAGACCATTTTATTTTAACTGATCTCTGAGCAAAAGAGAAAATTGTTACATTTTTATAGCACTAGTTTTTGTTTTTTTTTAATTTAGAGACTCCATCCTCTTTAATCTTGTGTCTAGAGATAAAGAATTGGATTTTATTAGGATTTTTTATACTTGGGATAATTAGTAATGGACTTTAATACAAAGAGAAGCATGCCATGAATCTCCAAGGATTTTATAATTATATTGGTCCCAAATTATGACAAACCTAATAAGAAGTTTTGTGTTATTTTATGTTCTCTAATGGTAGGAAAAATTGTTTGTTGACATAATGAATTTCAACTGCAAGTAGACATGCAAAAATATTTTATGCTATTTTGTTGTTTTAGGTTGTCCTGTCAACTATATTGCAAAAGAAACCTAACAGCAGTAATATTAGAATAAAGAATTAATATGTAGATATGTTTACCCACAGTGTGATTGTCATTTTATAAGCATAGTTAATAAATTTATTTTTAAATTGTGAAATGCAAAGTAGAGATATAATTCTGATGTTTAAAAAATAGAATAACTTTTCATTCTAGGTAGCAGTGATGGTTCTGAGCTAAGTGAAGAGACCTCATGGCCTGCTTTTGAAAGGTAAGATAAATTGTCCATTTGAACTGCCTTGAGTTTATTTTGTCTGTGTTAAATAATATGATAATAAAAATTTTAAGAGTTAATATTTACTACATGTCCCTAAGGGATTATTTAAGTTTGCTGCTGTTAAATCAGAAGTTGATATTTAAGTTTGGATATGTAAGTAATGAGAATGAATGATAGTCTTATCTCTACATGTTTATTTGGTAGCATGATACATATATTTGAATTTTAGTACATTTAAAATTGTAACTTAAAAATAATAACCAGTGATAGACAAGTAAACTCCTTATGTATTCAAAAAATTATTTCCTTAAGTTCTGATTCATTTAAGTAATTTTAAAGCATTTAGTGGAATGGTCAACTTTATTCTCTGCTACTTTGTCAAGGATGAAATGATTTAATAAACTTTAAATTATACAAGTAAAGCAAGTTAAGGTTTGAGTTTAAATTGTCATCATTCAAAATTTTCAGCGTACACATTTATACTGAAATACTATAAGCTGTGCTTCCTTCTCCTTCCTTTGTTACTTTAAGCTATAAAAGCTGTCATCTGCCTGTAGCAAATATCATGGTATATTGAGCTCTAAGTACATAGAAGATCTGAAGAATGTGATCAAACAATGCAAATAATTATTTATTAAATGTCGTTTAGGATTCTTTTTATTTTTTTAGAGACGGGTTTTCACCATATTAGCCAGGCTGGTCTTGAACTCCTGACCTCAGGTGATCCACCCGCCTCGGCCTCCCAAAGGGCTGGGATTACAGATATGAGCCACCACACCCAGCCTAAATGTGCTTTAGGATTCTTAGTTTTCTCTGGCCAGTTCAGTTCTGCCATTTTAGACTCATGAGTTATTTGGCTCTTGACCAAAATGATCACTCCCATTTGTATCTGAACTAAGCAACTGAGTTTCTATAAATGCCTATATTCGTTATTCAACAAGAACATCATTTGAATTGAATGTTAAATATCATATTAATACAGAAGTAGAAAATATTTAATTGCCTAACTCCGTATCAGTCACTTTTAGAAAACAGTTTTAAAATTTTATTTGAATTAATGTCATGCTGTTTAATTGGAAAAATAGATTCTAATTTCTTATGTAACTTCATAAAGATTTCTCACTGTTATGTAAGATTTTATTTATAAGTTTTACATTGCAAAGTACTTATGATTTTTTCTACTCTGTCAGTGATCCCAAGTTTTGTTCTCTTTGTTTTTGGGGATAATAATAATAATAATTGTTTTTCTTTATTTTTGTATTATTTTTCTTCCAACCTTTACTTTTGATCTGTTCATTTGGGTTTGCCTGAAATGTGAAAAACACAAGAATTGCCTTTGACATGTTGTCTGGATTTGTTCAAATTGTCTTTTCCTCTAGAAAGAACCTAATACCATAAGAAGTTAATTCTAAGTGTATTGTAATCTTTAGATTTGAAAAATATTGATTAACCAAATAGTTTCTTAGATCACTTGAGTTATAAGTGAGTAACCAGAATTATTTCTGTTAAATAATCTGTTCTCCTCCCAGCAGGTTACTTATGAAGACAGTATTTAATGGCGTTACCTTCACGTCTGAAAACAATTTTTCTCTTTATAACAAATGTTTTGCCTTACAGACATCTGCAGCTAAAAAAAATCTACTTTTCCTATGCCAACTTTAAATTAGTGGGCTCTTGGAACATTTTGAGAACAATGAAGTGAATACTGCCCAGCAAGATTCAGACATGAAATAATAGAAAGTGAATAAAGAACTAGGATTTAAAGTACTACACATGGATAGTGAACTTGAACATAGTACTCTGAATATTAACATACCATTTTCTGTTCTTATTTTCTAGACAGACATCAAATGCATTGTTAAGTTGTTAAAATAATGCTTTTGCTTTTAAATATCATTTATCAACAGTGCTACATTCCGGTTTTCCTAGGCAAAGAAGTATCAGCATTTTTATGTGTCTGGGTTTTTTGTTGTTGTTTTTTAACTATTAATGTGCCATTTTGGATAAGTATTAACTTATTTTTATCATATATTGGCTTTGTCAGTTAATGTAGAAATAACATAATGCCTATTTTACTCAATTCATTTCTTTTATTAGTTTTGGTGGTGGTGTTTTTTTTTTTTAACTTACTATAAAGGATAAAGAGGAAAATAAAGTTTTCCTTATTAGTTTTAAGTTTTCAAGCCACATTGCTTTTAGGTGTCTTCATAGGGACATATAATAAAAATGAATTACTATTATAAATCCAGGCATGATATTTAAAATGGAATTCAAGAAATGGTATATAAACATAAAAATTTTTGAAGTATTTTTCAGGTTTTTAAAAAATTATTATTTGGCTATAAACAGCTCTTTAATTCCTTTAGCATATTTGTGAAAGTTAATGTATATATAAATATATGGTATGTACTAAATAACTCTGAGTATTTCTAGAGTCAATAGTAGAAGAAAAAATTTTTGAAATCTATGCTGCATGGTTTAAAACAGAAAGAGAAACAATCACATACTATCCTCTTGTAAGATTTAGAAAGCTGTGTTAGAAGAAGAAACGATTATACTGTTCTAGGTATTGATGATGACTGTGTGAATAAAAGTATATGTAATATATACAATTTATAATGGAATCCAACAGGAACAGATTATACCATTCTCTGGGCCCGGTGACAAGAGTGGCACGAAATGGCTATCGAAGTCACATGAAGGCCAGCAGGTACAATTCCCCTGCATTCAGGAGTCACAGAACTCCCTTATGGCGTTGGTGATTGGCTTACATGGGTGTGGTCTGACATTATTTCTCTTCTTTCTCAACTAACTGATTTAAAAACTAAACATATTACCCAGAAAAACTTTCTTTTCAAGATCTAATGTGAAGATAATTTTCAGCTATTCTTTCTGATCCACAGAGCTAATTGCCAAAACTTGCATCTTAACATTACATATTTTAAAATGCTTCCAAGTTGGTAGTCTTTAAACTGCACCAGTCTTTCTACTGCTGATAGTTATTGAGTGATATAAAAATCTGCTTGTTATTCATAAGTTGTAATCAAAGCATTTACTTTGCTAATAAATTTATATTTGATTTGTCTTTTTAAAAACTTTTCAGATAAACTGCAGGTCCTGAATATAGACAAGTCTATTTCATAAAATAATAATTTGCATATTCGTTCAGTTGTTCATGTAGTTAAACCAGGTCTCTTTTTGCACTTTACTAGCTATAGAGGCAGATAAGGATGGTGTATTGATTGGGAAGGTAGGGTTTAATGATAATGGGTAATCAACCAATTTATAACACAACAAAATACCAAACTTCAGAAGCAAACTTTATGTCAGTTTGATGGTGTCTAATCTCTCTGAGTATACCTCCCTGAATATAAATAGCTTTAGCATGAAATTTCTGCTGGTTTGTAGGTTTTCAAAGTCACTTTGAAGACACCTAAATAATCACAAAGGAATAAACTGGCAAACTTCAGTTTTCATTGTTCTTATAGGAATTCTGCAGCTCATGTCAAGTCACCAGTGACATTTTTATCAGCGTGTATGTTTAATTGGCTCACATAGAAACCATTATTGTATTAAATATAGGACCTTAAATCAATTAGGGAAAGATATTAAAGTGTTGGTTATTTTGTGATGGTTTTTTAAAGATACATGGAAAGGAAATTTTGAATTTTGGGTCTTTTCCTTTCGTGGAGAGCTATTAGGCCATAATCACTTATGCACTGATACCATTTAAATATTATTAAAATGTATTGCAGAAAGCTTGTTGTATAAATATATTATTATTGACTTTATTACTTCTTTCTGCTATTTTAGAATTAAATTAAGCATGAGTTTTCTTTTTTCTTTTTGAGCTTCTATTTTTATTTTCAGTTTTATATATACTTAAATACTTTTAACAAATAGAATCCTCATTTTTCCTACCAGGACTTAAAGTTTTTAATGGGGAAAATAAGGTTACAACAGTGATTCAGTATGGCACGTTAAGAAGAAAACAAATCTTAAACTGTTAATTTGATTTTTACTAAAGTGAATTACTGCATTCTTTCTAAATTATACTTGTTCAAATACATAATAAAGTGTGTTTTTTAACCATCTGCTGACTGTAATAACTTTCTAATTAACTTTTGTGACAGCTTATAAATTTCAAGATTAATAAACCTTTAAAATTCTCAATGTCTTCTCAGCTCTGAATAAAGTAACAAAGTTTTCAAATTAAGAATAATTACATTTTATTTAAGTACCTACTTGATGACTGTTACAGACAAAACCTCTCATGTGTTCTTTTCTTCGTTATTATAGCTCTGCAGAGTCGAAAGATTTAGCAGTACATTTATATCCAGGAGCTGTTACTATTCAAGGTGTTCTCAGGAGAAAAACTTTGTTAAAAGAAGGCAAAAAGCCTGCAGTAAGATTTTATTATATTATATTTTAATATACCTTTTAAAATATGCAAATGTATAAGACCCTGGAAAGTACTAAAACAATTAAAACCTGATTATAGTAGACTTGAAATAATGTAAAATAAGGTCCTTCCGCCTTATCCTTGGGTGATCCATTCCAAGACCCCCAGGGGATGACTGAAACCTCAGATAGTACCATACCAGATTACCATCAGTTGGAACATGCTTCTATTCATGTCTTCCATCCACAAATTGAATACCTTTTCTATCTTAACTAAGCTCTTAACCCTACACAGTAGCCATAACATTGGCAGTTTGAGGTGCAATATCAAAACTAGCATGAATTTCTTTTTCCTTCTTCACAATTTCACAGATAGAAAAATTATGCTTATCATGGATCTTAGTAACCTTAGCATCTAATTTTTCTTCCCTAAATCAAGAACTTTTTCTTTTCACTTAAGGAAGCAGTGGGGAGTGGGGCACAAGGATAACACATACAGCATGGAGGTGCTGGACACAGAAAGAGATGATTATGTCCTCAGAAGGACAGATCAGAACTGTGTGAGATTTTATCATGCTACTCAGAACAACACATGATTTTAAAACCTGTGAATTGTTTATTTCTCAAATTTTCCAATAAATGTTTTTAGACTATGGTTGCCTGTGGGTAACTGAAACCACAGATAAGAGGGAAACTACTGTATACATTTGCCTCACCATATTTTCTTAAAGGGTTATTATATGTGCCATATGGATTTCTGTTAAATCATATGTTAAGGGTGCTTAAATCCAGGTACTTTTTTTTACCTCCTTTTATAGTTCTTATACAAAATTGTTTCTTAGAGAATCCTGAAAGTTTATCATTAAGAAATATTTTAGTATTAAGTTTAGGTAAAATAGAAAACAAAGAATAACAACTGTAAAAAGTGGAATCTGATTGTGTTTTGTTTTATTTAAATTTCTGTAGTGCAGTTTTGTTTTCTATATAAAATAGAACCCAAATATTAAACGTTTTCCAAACCATAACTATATGGGTAGGGGTGGGGAAGGAAGATTGGTAGAACAAAGCTCTTCATATGTATCAAAGAAGTTTATTCTTCCTCGACACCAGCATAGTAGTTTGACTTCTAAGGAACAATTTTTTCCCTTTCTCAAATTTGAAATATAAAACCTTTGACATATATCCACACTTAAAGCTTTTGATAATATGGGGGTTTCATATGAGTAATCTTATTTTGCTGCTTATATCACAGCCAAAGGCACATACAATCAAGAAGCTCTTAGGTGGGCTAGTGAACTCAGAATTGCATGTCAGGTGAAGCATTACCATACCTTTTGTGTGCCAGATGCTAGAAATAGAGCAGTGAACAAGGTGAGGCAAAGTGCCTTTCTCCTGGGTTACGTTTCAGTGAGGAGAAATAGAGAATAAGGCTTTAAAATAAGGTCACAGAATGCAGAATGATGGGCCAACGAGGAATGCCACTGTGGCAAGACGTTTGAGCTGAGATCTGAATTAGGAAGTTGAGTTAGCTGTGAGAACATGTAGAGTTCAGGAAACAAGAAGACTTGTATGGGTTAAGCATTGAAATTGGCGAAGGCGAAGGGGATAAGAGCCAAAAGCTAGAGTTGTTTGATGATAAATGTGATGTGTAAGAGAAAGAGAGAAAACGAAGATAACTTCTAGGTTTGGGGACTGAGGTGGGTTGGTGTTGGGAACATTTATTGAAATGAGGGCCAGGTCAGTCTTGGCCAAGTTCAGTTTGATATGCTTATTAATTATAACATTCAAGTGGAGATGTCATTGTGGCCCTTGAAGAAGTATGGATCATGAGGTCAGCAGAGAGGTGGAGGGAGAGAGATCTGGGAGTCATTAGCATACAGATAGAGAGTATCTGAAATATGGAACAGGATGATAGATTAAGAAGAAAGTATAGCTAGAGAAGAAAACAAGACTGGAGATAGGGCCCTGTAGTATTAAAGGTCTTCCATAAAGAAGAGTATAAAGGAAAACTAAACAACTGTTATCCCAGAAGCCTAGCAGTTACAATACTTCAAAAAGGAAAGAGTGGCCAGCTGGGTCAGATGCTGCTAAGAGGTTGACTATGATAAGGGCAGAGGCTTTGCTAAAGTTACAATCATCAGTGACCTTGTTGCCCCAAAAGCCAAATGAAGTGAGATGAGTAGAAAATGGTCAAAACAGAAGAAGCTGAGGCAAGATTTGGAGACATCCATGCTGTTATGCTGAGAAAAGGGGCGAGAAATTGGTTGGTGTCTGGGGGTTGAGGAGATGGGTCAAAGGAGGAATTTTAAAGGTGGGAGTACTATTAAGGCTCATTTGTATAATGATGGTAGAGGGAGAGATACTGAGAAGCAGTGGAGTTAATTGCAAAAGCAAACTTCTTAAGAAAGTGAGAGATAATTGGAATCTTGGGCATAAAAAGAGAGTTGAGTTTGTCTTTAGATAGCATCGGGTTAACCCGTTGTAGCAGGAAGAGTGACTGAGTATGTGGTTCTGCAAATAGGTAGTTATATAGAAGTGACAGTATTTGAGATTACGATTTCAGAAGTGACACAGCTCAACTCTGAGGTTAGGGCTTTGTTTAAAGTGAACTTGATCATTGGCACTTACAATGTAAAGCAGCTAAGAAGCCAGGAACATTTTAATAGTATATTCATGTGTTTGCCCTACCCAGGTAGCATCTTGGACAAAATATTGGGCAGCTTTGTGTGGGACGCAGCTTTTTTACTATGCTGCCAAATCTCTAAAGGCTACAGAAAGAAAACATGTAAGTATTCGTTCTCTACACTTTTAGCATAGTTTCACAGAGTGTTCATGGTTATAAAGAAAGCAGACCTAATGGGATGCAAGGGTTTTGGGGTTTGCTCTTGTTTTTTCCTATCTTCTAGTCCAAAAGTTTTTATACTTATTTCTTTTTTGAATACCATTTTTCCCTTGCAAATGTCAAGACTGCACATTACATTTATCTATCTCGTCATCAAAGCTTTCTCAGATCTGGATTTCCTGCTCAATATTCTTCAAAACTATTGCCTTGGAGTTTCCATTCCTAATTAGCAAAATGTGAAAATGTGGGACCAACATCTAGTATTTTTTCCATCTCAGTCTCTGGTTCCGTGATTATTCCCAACAGTGAAGAGGAATAAGCAATTACAGCAGTTATGCTACAGTCACTTTCTCGTGCTTCATATTACTTAAAAGAAGCCTCTTTTCACCCTGCAGAATCTTTCTATAAATCTCTTTTGCATGCTGTTTTGGTTTTTTTTGTTTTTGTTTTTGTTTTTTTTGTTTTGTTTTGTTTTGTTTTGAGACGGAGTTTCACTCATGTTACCCAGGCTGGAGTGCAATGGTGCGATCTTGACTCACCGCAACCTCGCCTCCTGGGTTCAGGCAATTCTCCTGCCTCAGCCTCCTGAGTAGCTGGGATTACAGACACACGCCACCATGCCCAGCTGATTTTTTTTTTTTGTATTTTTGGTAGAGACAGGGTTTCACCATGTTGACCAGGATGGTCTGGATCTCTTGACCTCGTGATCCACCCGCCTCGGCCTCCCTGTTTTGTTTTTACGTGCCAGTGATCAAATCTTTGGAAGGAAGAATGATTTTCTATGTTGTGTTAATCAAATCTGAGAGGAATTTTATTTCTAAGTCACGTATTTTTGGGGAGAAAAATTAAGTGGTTTATCTTACTGAGGAAAGGTAAGCCAGTGAATAAAAATTTGAGTTCTTTTTCTACTTAAAACTTACCCAAATGATACTGCGTTATTCAGAGAAACTCTTCTTTATTCTCACAGTTTTAGCCCTTTAATCAAACCAAAGGTATAGAAAAGAACATTTTTGGTTTAAATGAATGTGGGAAGTGCCATAAGATAGCATTGTGTTTCTTTATTAATGATACTCACTGCCTGCCACTGTCCTGATCATCGTGACTCATTGCCTTGCTTTTCTTTAGACTGTGAGCATGTATGTGTCCCTAATTAATCCATGGTTTCATTTTTTAACTGTACCTTAATGGGATCATTTGTATTCTTAAGAACTAGCTTTTTTGCTCACTATTATGATTGTTTACGTAGCTCTTGCTGTGAGATAAAGGATTTGATCATGGAGATTTATTCTGTGAATATGTATTTTTTTAATTCTAGTCAAAGTGACAATAATGCCCATATACCTTACAACATTTACACAGATTGGTTTTGCTAGAACAATTTGTAGAGTTCGTACTGCTGTTCTCAAAGGGAGAAAAAAGTTGGATTCAGTTCAATTAAATCCATTATCTTCAGATATAGAAAGTAACTTTTCACATAGCCACATTGAGATACTTGCTGGCTAGATTTCACTTAGTTGACTATTGTAAAAGTCATTATTCAAAATAAAATGGTTTTTTTGTTGTTTTTTCTTAGTTTCAATTAGAAAAAGTCCAAATTAGAGAAGTTATAACTGAATTTGTCATCTAATTGGTAAATATTGTTTTGTGCTTTGCATTGTTGCTTATGCATAAAAAGTTACTATTATGTTATAGGTTGGGTTTTTAATAGGTTTCTGATAGGTAATGTATGTAAAATGTTTACAAATTAAAGCATAGTGGGTTGTGAGAAAATCTAATTGAGTACCAAGAAAACTGACTGCATTTCTCATCTCTTCTAATTAAATTAAAATACAATTAAAGAATAAATTTGAAGAACAGGATAGACGGTATAGAGACAGGTCTATATCTGTACTTAGTATTAATTTTGAGATAGAAAAGATATGGCATAGAACTAAAAGCAATGGAGGAAAAAAATTGGTTTTCAAATAAAATGCAAATAAATTGGAGGAAAATATCTGCTATATGTAAGCAACAGATAAAGGAATAAATCACTATTTAAACAGAGCACCACCTACATTGTATTTTTGCCAAAATACTTAACATGAATCTTATAAGGAAATAATCAAATCCAAATTGTGGGACATTGTATGAGACAGCTAGCCTAGAATCTTAAAAAGACCAAAATTTGACAGGTGGAGTAAGAGCAGGGGGACAGGAGGACTGTTATAGATGAAAAGAGGATTGACACCTAAATGCAATATATGTTTTTTAGTTTAATCCAGGAGTTATATTAGGGAAAAAAAATTTAAAGCTATAAAGATTATTATTGGAACAATTTAAGAAAATGTAATATGGACTCTATATGGTATCTGTTCAATTTCTTAGAAATGATAATTAAGTTGTGATTGTATAGGAATATATTCTTGTTCTTAAAAAAACACATGTTGAAGTAGAGTTCAATGTTGTGATGTCTGCAATTTACATTTGAATGTTCAGAGAGATCAAATACAAAAACATAGATTAAGGATATATAGCTAGTCATTGTGGCATTCTCTCAACTTCTGTACAGCTTGAATTTTTTCAAAATAAAAAGCTGGAGGAGAAAAAAAATCATAGATGAAAATATGCTTGTTGATGTATGTATACAAACCCAGAAGGGGGACATATGTAAGCCTATATACCTTATTTTAGTATTCTATAAAGTATATATTTTTTTGCCTATAAGGAACAGAGTTTGCGAAGGTAGAATGATCAGCCTCACTCACTATTTGAAAATGCAGATTAAGGGAGACACTTTCTTGCCATTAGACAAAAGTTTAAAAGATTGATGCTATAGCATTGGTCGTGATGTAGGGAAACAGACTGTCATCCATGGCTGGTAGAAATCTAAATCACTGTTTTTGTGGTGGCCAGTCCTAGTCAGTATTTAGCTTGATAATAACGAGAAATTCCTCATCTGAGAATTTATCCTGCAGAAATCTTTGAACAAGTGCACAAAGATATCTGTAGAAGAATATTTCTACAATATTTATGACAACAGAAATCTGGAAAAACCCAAAATACTTATAAATAAGGAAGTGGTTACTGATAGGTGAAAACCACAAGTCAGAGTGTAAATATATCCCCGATTAATACATAAAAACCAACAGCAACAATGACACAAGCCTCTGATACAATAAATGCATAGAATAAGATCTGGTGGTTGTCACCTCACATGATGATTATGTCTAGAGAATGCGATGGGATTCAGCTGGTTTTTAAAGTGCGTTTGCACTTTATAGTTTCATCCCTGTTTCTGAAGCAGTTTATGTTGCTTGAGTTACTTTTTTTTTTGAAAAAACAAAGAATTGAGGTAAAAGTTTTTAGGCCTAGGAAAAGAATATTAGAAGATCATACTATTCACACTGAAGTAAATTTTGAGCTGTCAAATTAGCAGTCCTGTGGTATTGCCAATTTCATCCTTCATAGTATGAAAACTTACTGATTTCTTTAGCTTTCATATTTCACTCTTATGTTATAAATGAGCCATGTTCATTCTTTTCCCCATTTCCTTTAACCATGAAGCATATTATACATACAAAAGAAGATAGGGAGTATACATGTACATTTGAAAACACAATAAATAAAACGAACACCTGTATACTCTCCACCCAATGTAAGGAACAGAATGTTACTAGAACCATCAAAGCCTTCCTAGAGGCATCTTCTTTCCTATCAGCCATACTCACACAGCCTGTCACTGTCCTGAACTTCTTGTTAATTGTTGCCTTATTTTTCTTTAGTGTTTAACCATGTATACGTCCTTATATAATGTACTGTTTCATTTTTGAACTGTACCTGAATGGCTTCACATATATATTCTTAAGCACTAGCTTAAGCCAAACCATTCTTCTTTTATAACAGCCATTTCTCAGGATTACAAAAATAAGTCGTAGTTACAATAATAACAATAATAGTTAACTACAAAAGTAATATGGTAAGAATACCCCTCTTTTTTGGAAAATACAAGTAAGGTTTGCCATTAAGAATTATCTGGTTGCAGTGAGCTTAGGTCATGCCACTGCACTCCAGCCTGAGTAACAGAGTAAAACTGTCTCAAAAAAAAAAGAATTATCTAATAGCACTGCTATCAGATCATCAGAATTAAGATAACATAGCTACTAAAATGCAAATATCTTTCCTATAAGGAGTAGCAGAGTAATTCAGAAAAAAAAAACATTAATATGTCATATTCACAGATGTATTATTCTCTCTGGGAACGGAGAATAGGTCAGTTAGGTTTTGATGAAGAGTTGAAGCTGGGAAAGTCTGGGAAGTAGGAGATGATCTGAAGAGGGCATGCCTACAATGAAATTCAGCAGTAAAGGGCCCCAGGCTGACCAAGAACAGCATGAAGTCTCAAATCTCATCTCTCAACTTTCATTAGGAGAAACCGAAAATAGACTCCCTAACACTGAATTTTTGCTTAGAATAAACCATAAATTTTATCTTTCCACTAATTATCTTTTTATCTCTCAGTTCAAATCAACCTCCAATAAGAACGTATCTGTGGTAGGATGGATGGTGATGATGGCTGATGACCCTGAACATCCTGATCTCTTCCTGCTGACTGACTCTGAAAAAGGTGAATTGTTAGAATAACTGGGGCTTAGTATACTGCGTGTGTGTGTGTGTGTGTGTGTGTGTGTGTCATATATATATGTAATGTTTAATGCATACATGAAAAATTTGATGAGCCAAAACCTAGTTTCACTGGAATACTCAAGAGGGAAAGTGTTTGTGTAGTTTTATCTATTGGGAAATGCTTTTGTCCCATTATGTATTTTAATAAGATTAATATTTTTAGAGCTTATTTTTGGAGCTTATTAATTATTTTGGAGCTTTGCTACATGGGCATATGCTTGAAAATTAAAAACCCAGCTAATCCCTAGAGACCCAACTAGGAAGAGAAGGAGGGAATTTGAGAGTATATATACCCCACTGTTAGTTTAAATTTTTAGAGATTTGCCATGTAGGCTATACTCCTTCCTTCATCAATACCTTGAAATGGATTGTTATTCTTAAGTTCTGAAGGTGGCAGAGTTTTCCTTTAAATATTTATTCTGTCACTTTAAATTATCCAGAACCAATATTCTGCAGTCTCATCCACATAGATCTAGAGATGCCACACAATTATTGTGTTTATTTAGATGTATTTTTTTCTAAACAACATTTAAGAACAAAATTATTGCTTCTAATTCATAAGCAGCAAAGCTGACTCTCTGAATATATTTCTCTGAGATCACTTTCCAAGTTAATTATAACATTTTATATACAGTATATAGATAGACACTTATGAATAGAAAATAATTGGCTATTGATCATTGGAGTTTGTAAAGTGGATATGAGAAACTGGAGGATGGGCCATATAGAATTACATCAGACCTCTTTACTTTACCTATGGCTATAGTGAATACCCCAAAGTTCATCAGAAAATATCCCCAAGTGATTGGCTTTTCTTCCATTATAACAACTGCCAGCTGTTGACAAGTACCAGAGAGAAGATACTTTCAGCAGTTCACAACTGGAATACTATACTATGTTACCTTTTATTGACTTCACAACTATATTTTGACCTCTGTTTATTCAGATGCTCTTTTGTATCAACAGATATCACACTTTTAGAATGTTTCAGAGTTTTAAGTAAACAAGTAAGCAAATATGTTGGATGCAGGAAAAAATAATAATACCAAAATGTCTTGTTTTTAGATTAAGTAGATTGGCTTACAGAATAAGCACACCCTACTCAGTATTTTTTTTCATAAGTTATTGGGGTACAGGTGGTATTTGGTTATATAAGTAAGTTCTTTAGTGGTGGTTTGTGAGATTATGGTGCACCCATCACCCAAGCAGTATACATTGCACCATATTTGTAGTCTTTTATCCCTCACCTGCCTCCCACTCTTGCCGCCAAGTCCCCAAAGTTCATTGTATCTATCATTCTTACGCCTTTGCATCCTCATAGCTTACCTCCCACATATCATTGAGAACATACGTTTGGTTTTGCATTCCTCAGTTACTTCACTTAGAATAATAGTCTCCAATTTCATCCAGATCACTGCAAATGCTGTTAATTCATTCTTTTTTGTGCATAGTATTCTATCATGTACATATACCACAGTTTCTTTATCCACTCATTGACTGATGGGCATTTGGGTTGGTTCCACAATTTTGCAATTGTTAATTTTCTAATTCTGTGAAGAAGGATGGTGGTATTTTGATGGCGATTGTGTTGGATTTGTAGATTCCTTTTGGCAATACAGGCATTTTCACAATATTGATTCTACCCATCCATAAGTATGGGATATATTTCCATTTGTTTGTGTGTCATCAGTGATTTCTTTCAGCAGTGTTCTGTGGTTTCCTTTTAGAGATCTTTCCTTTGTCAAGTACATTACTAAGGTTTTTGTTTGTTTGTCTGTTTTGCAGCTATTATAAAAGAGGTTGAGTTCTTGATTTGATTCTCTTCTTGGTCGCTGTTGGTGTATAGAAGCCTACTCAAAATTTTGAATTCAGAGCCCCAGCCTCCTTCTCATATCGAAGGCATAATTCCTAAAATTACATTTTATGCTGCTATGAACATGCATGTTCAAGTATCTTTTTCGAATAATGACTTCTTTTTCTCTGAGTAGATACCCAAAGGTGGGATTGCTAGATCAAATGGTAGTTCTGCTTTTAGTTCTTTGAGGAATGTCTACACTGTATTCCATAGTGGCTGTACTAGTTTACATTCCCACCAGCAGTGTAGAAGTGTTCCATGTTTACCATATCCACACCAACATCTACTGTGTTTTTATTTTTTTCTTATGGCTAGTCTTGCAAGAGTAAGGTAGTATTGCATTATGGTTTTGATTTGCATTTCCCTGATTATTAATGATGTTGCACATTTTTTCATTTATTTGTTGGCCATTTTATATCTTATTTTGAGAACTGTCTATCCATGTCCTTAGCCCACTTTTTGATGGGATTTTTTTTTTTTCTTACTGATTTGAGTTCATTGTAGATTCTGGATATTAATCCTTTGTCAGATGTATAGATTGTGAATATTTTCTCCCACTCTGTGGGTTGTCTGTTTACTCTGCTGACTATTCCTTTTGCTGAGCAAAAGCTCTTTAGTTTAATTAGGTCCCAACTATTTATCTTTGTTTTTTTTTTTTGAGGCGGAGTTTCGCTCTTGTTACCCAGGCTGGAGTGCAATGACGCGATCTCGGCTCACCGCAACCTCCGCCTCCTGGGTTCAGGCAATTCTCCTGCCTCAGCCTCCTGAGTAGCTGGGATTACAGGCACGCGCCACCAGGCCCAGCTGATTTTTTGTAGTTTTAGTAGAGACGGGGTTTCACCATGTTGACAAGGATGGTCTCGATCTCTTGACCTCGCGATCCACCCGGCTCGGCCTCCCAAAGTGCTGGGATTACAGGCGTGAGCCACCGCGCCCGGCCTTTATCTTTGTTTTTATTGCATTTGCTTTTGGGTTCTTTGTCATGAAATCCTTGCCTAAGCCAGTGTCTAGAAGGATTTTTCCAGTGTTGTCTTCTAGAATTTTTATAGCTTCAGGTCTTAGATTTAAGTCCTTAATCCATATTGAGTTGATTTTTATGTAAGGTGAGAAATGGGGATCAAGTTTCATTCTCCTACATGTGGCAAGCCAATTATCCCAGCACCATTTGTTGAAAAGGGTGTCCTTTCCCGACTTTATGTTTTTGTTTGCTTTATTGAAGATCAGTTGGCTGTAAGTATTTGGGTTTACTTCTGGGTTCTCTGTTCTGTTCCACTGGTCTTTGTGCCTATTTTCATACCAATGCCATGCTGTTTTGATGACTATGGCCTCATAGTTTAGTTTGAAATCAGGTGGTGTAATGCTTCCAGATTTGTTCTTTTTGCTTAGTCTTGCTTTGGGTATGGGGGGCTCTTTTTGGTTGCATACAAATTTTAGAATTGTTTTTTCTAATTCTGTGAAGAATGACGGTGGTATTTTGATGGCACTTGCATTGAATGTGTACATTGCTTTTGGCAGTATAGTCATTTTCACAATATTGAGTCTACCCATCCATGAGCATGAGATGTGTTTCCATTTGTTTGCATTGACAGTGATTTCTTTCAGCAGTGTTTTGTAGTTTCTTTGTAGAGATCTTTCGACTCCTTTGTTAGGTATATTCCTGAGGTTTTTGGTTTTTGTTTTTGTTTTTGTTTTGTTTTGTTTTGCAGCTATTATAAAAGGGGTTGAGTTCTTGGTTTGATTCTCTGCTTGGTCGCTGTTGGAGTGTAGAAGCCTACTCAAAATTTTGAATTCAAAGTCCCAGCCTCCTTCCCATATCAAAGGCATAATTCATAAAGTTGCATTTTAAGATGAGAGCATTTTCATTGGATTTAGTTAACAAATTCTTTGTTTTCTTCGGTTTTTTTTTTTAGCATGCCTAATAGAACTATTTCAGGTAGCCAAAATTTTATGAAGTCTCTCTATACTAATGGCCTTTTGCAGGGGAGGGGTAAGTAGGTAAATTGTAGCTGTGACCAGCTTAATTGTAGATATGCCTTCTTTTCATATTGACCTAATGTCTGTGTCTGAGTTCAGCAAGTGTAACAATGTTACCTAATTATGCATTTGGTGAAGAAACAATTACTTCTGAAAGTCAAAAAGTTCTTTGAGTGTTAGAATCTCAAGGAAAAAGCTGAATGATGCTTAAATATAGTTAGGCTCTTAAGCGATTGAATGCAGTTAAATAGAAATCAGCAAAAATTGTGAAATTAAAAAGAACTTAGGTCAATGAAAAAAAGAAATAAAGCTTAATTTAGAGCAGCCTATAGTACATGGATTCTTTATTTTCTCAATTTATTGCCTCCTCACCTTAATACATGTAACAATTTAAAATATCCTCATTATGTGTCATTCCTGAATTAAAGTCAATAGAGGAATTACTAAATACACAAAGCACAGATGAATTTCTAATTTGCTAAAAGAGATAAAGTTGCCTCCTAGATTTTCCCCAAGAACCCTCAACAGAACTGGAAATCTGTAATAATCTTGACAAATGTCTTGTAATTAAAGACTGAAAGCATAGTCTATCAGTGTTACCTGACTAATCCTTAATTCTCCTAAATAGCTAGTGTTTAAGTGTTAAACATGTTGAAGCATTTTGACATGTTAAAACTTAACATTAACATCTACTAGGCCGGGCGCGGTGGCTCAAGCCTGTAATCCCAGCACTTTGGGAGGCCGAGGCGGGTGGATCACGAGGTCAAGAGATCGAGACCATCCTGGTCAACATGGTGAAACCCCGTCTCTACTAAAACTACAAAAAATTAGCTGGGCATGGTGGCGCGTGCCTGTAATCCCAGCTACTCAGGAGGCTGAGGCAGGAGAATTGCCTGAACCCAGGAGGCGGAGGTTGCGGTGAGCCGAGATCGCGCCATTGCACTCCAGCCTGGGTAACATGAGTGAAACTCCG